ATCCCATTGTCACTGGTAAATCATTAATTTCATATCACTTAGCATGTTAAACAGTAATGTTCTGTTTATATAACTCTTTTCCTTCTTCAAGACTGCAAGCTCCTTTGAGGGCAGTGAGGATGTCTTTTAGTCTCGGAATCCTCAGTACCCAGCATAGTGCTGGATAAGCATTTGTTGAGTGAGTGAATAGTTATCCATTATCAGAACCTATTTCATAAGATTCTTTTTCATGTAAACATAAGGTGAAAGCTAGCTCTGCATAGGTTGTGGTAGTTCACAGTGGGACTCAAGGTTTTTGGATCATATGGGAACTCAGTAAATGCTTCTTTGTTCTATTTACTCTAATTTCATTTTGCTTTCTTTTTTTTAGGACACAAAGTTTTCTTTAATTATTTTTTTGGGGATAAGAAACACCATACTTCTACTCAATGTCCAACCAACTGAACCACACCAGCCAGAGCTCATTGTACTTTTTTGAATGGGTACTACATTTCCATTGTCCAAAATTAAAAAGATAAAAAGTTACATAGTGAAAATTCCTTCCCACTGGTGCCTTCCAGCTGCCCAATGCCCATTAGTTTCATGAGTAAACATTATTTTACACAAATGGTAGTATTACATACTGTTCTGCCCATTGACTTTTTCATTTAACAATATGTCCTGGGTGCCTGGCCAGTGTGGTTCAGTGCTTGAGCATCCACCTATGAACCAGGAGATCAGGGTTCGATACCTGGTCAGAGCACATGCCTGGGTTGCGAGCTTGATCCAGTAGGGGGCATGCAGGAGGCAGCTGGTCAATGATTTTCATTATTGATGTTTCTCTCTCTCTCCCTATTTGAAATCAATTATATATATATTAAAAAGGCAGGACAAATGCTTGATTCCTTCTCTTCCCTGACAAGATACCCTAGGTTCAACTTGTTTATTTTTGCCTCAGATTTCGAAGCAGCCATTTCTCTATGAATCCGATTCCTTTTAGTGGTAGCACCATCACTGTAAATGTTTGTTGTCCCTAGGACATTGGCTGGCTATATGGGGTTCTCTGATGTCACTCTGACTTTAAATTCAATAGTGGGAGAACCAGCACTCTTTGATCCAAAGAAAAGTCATCCAGCTAACCAGCTGAATACATCTTTAATTTTCTCACACAGAAGTCATTGAGCCAAAATGGTAACTCTGTGTTTCCTACCCAGTCTTTAGCTAGGGACCTGTCAGAAGCTGAGGAGCAGTATGCCATTGCCCTGCGCAGCCACATGCACAACATTGACCAGCTGTTGGCCTTGCAGAGATGCCGACTCAACCTCCTGGAGGAAAATTACAGCATGGAGCTGGAGACCCTAACCAAGGAGTTTGAGATAGAAAGGTATGGGGGTTTGAATCCAAGGGAGCATATAGAGCCTGTGTCAAGGAGCTGTCTGTAAGCAGGTGGCCAGCACCCTGGAGCATCCCACCTTGATGATGACATTACTTCCAGCAGAAAAGATCCTGATTTCCTTCTAAAATAACGTGGGTTTAAGCTTGTGGCCTTAGCCTTCCTTTTCCTGTGCCAGGTCCCTATTTATAACGTCTCATCACCCACTGCCAACTATCAAAATCCTACCCATCTGGCAGGGGACAGGAATGGGAAGGAGACTTCTCACTGTAACCTTTGCACTTTTTAATTTTTATATCACATGAATATATTAACCTATTCAAAAATAAAAATAATCTTATTCATTCTTTTCGGCCCTAAAGGAAATAGATCCCTCCTTCCCTCTGTTTTCCTTCAGTACCTAAGAGTTTGTACCATTCATATAGTTTTATTACATACTGCTTTGAGTTGTCATTATTGGTCCATTTGCTTTATTCCTCAGAGCAGGAACAGTGTCTTATCTTCCGTAGGAAGACAATTATTGAACAACATGAAAAAGAGATTTGCTACCTACAAGATGTCTTCATGGCTATGGAGCAGAACTACATAGATTCTGAGTATGAAAGCAAGCTGGAGTTCCAGAGCATGTGGGATGATCTCAAAAACAAGGTACAGAGGGGAAGTAATGGGCAAGAGCTGGGAGAGGAGAGAAAAATGCTCCAGGCTAGCAGAGCTCAAAGAGATCCCTTTAACCAACATAATAAAATGCCTGTTGCCACTGTAGGTACCCCATTGCCTTTTGTACTTTTCTGAAAATTGGTCGGGCGGGAGGATCATTCTGAAATATCAAGGAAATGCATTTTAAAGCTTAAAAGCAACAAGGAAATCATCTGGCTTCACCTGGGAAAGATATGCTTTGATTTCCGTCCCCAGTCTTTTTACCTGTCTCCCTGAAGACCCTCAGCTAGTCAAGTGTTTCTTCTAATCTACTCTGTTCTTGCAGGATTCCATAATTATTTTGAAAGGCAAGATCATGGTGCATAGCCATGAGATTTGTAGATGAAGAAACTAAAGCCCCGTAAAGTAGAATGACCTGCCAAAGTCCTGCTGCTGCTTTGTGGCAGAGCCAGGAGGAGAATCCAGTTTCTGGCCTCTTGGCCAAAGTGCTTTCCACTATCCTGTAGGCCTCAAACTTTAGCTGGCCTGCAGACCTGGGTTTGCGTATGAGATTCTTTGTTTTTATTTTGCCCTGTAGTGTTTTGTAAAACATTTAAATAAGGTTCCCAAATTTAAAAAATGGGGATTTCACATAAAAACCCAAATTTTCACCTTCCCTTGAAAAATCTGAAGATCTGGTAACCCTGGGACAATATTTCCAAATGGAGACACTCACATGGAGCTGAGCAGCGGTGCCTTCCCCACTCCCCCTGCTAAGAGCATTTGCTCTCTGGTTCACCGCAGGCTCCATCTAGCCCACAGCACTTATTTATATCATCTGCCTGGTCTTTGTAGGCATTTTCATTGGCGACCCTGCACTATACTATGCTATAAACAGTGCAGGAGTGTGAGGTTGCTGGTGGAAGTGAAAGGGCACTAAAAACGTAATTCCGAGCATTGTCTATTTTGGGGCCACTTCCTAGAATATAGAAGAGAAGCACTTTCTAAGACTGCAACTAGAGAGTGTAGTAGAAGATCTATGGAGAAGGTTCCAGGATGCACTTAAGAATTACACTGATGCCACAGAGGATCGAAAGATTGCCTTTGAGACTTTGAAAGTGAAGGACGAGAAGAGCTCCAAAGACATTGAAGTACAGATGAAAAGAATACAGAAACTACAGGTTAGTGCAGCCAACCAGAAATACTCACTGCTTTAACTGCTCCATTATCCCCTGTTCATCTTCCCCCAATTTCTACTGGGCCTCATCACTGGTTGGGGAAAGATATGCTTTGATTTCCGTCCCGTCTTTTCACCCGTCTCCCTGAAGACCCTCAGCCAGTCAAGTGTTTCTTCTAATTTACTCTGTTCCTCCAGGATTCCATACTTATTTTGAAAGGCAAGATCATGGTGCACAGCCGTGAGAGTGAAGAACAGAACCAGTACATTCGTGATGACAAGGAATTGGTCCTTGTACAACTACGAAAACTTAAGGCCCAAAGGACTCATGTCCGGGAAATAGCACAGGAGAATTTAGTCAAACTCACTCTGGAAAGTAATGCCACCCTCAAAGTTCTGAGAGCGATTGTTGATAAGGTAACAGGGGAGAGGGTGGTCCAAACAAAACCAAGGAACTGGGCTCCCTGTGAAGTAAAAAGGGTTTGAGGATGGTAGAGGAGGCATCCTCCTGCTTCCTGCCTGAGTGGACACTTGGAATACCTTTTTTATTTCATGTTCCCTTCCCCCTCACATTTTAAGTTAAATGCATTAATAGTGAATGGATTTTATAAGAATATCAAATACTTGCCATTCAGTAAGCACTCTGTGTTAGATGTGTATATTACTCGTCTCCCACTTAAATTAATAGCTTCCCTGGTTCAAACAGGGAACCAACTCCACTATTCCCCTTCCCACCTCTTTTCTAATAAAAGGTGTCTTCCTGCGTTCAATAGGGTGAAAAGATCCTTAAACTTGCTGAAATATGTAGGAAATTTGAAACAGAGGAAGAAAAAGTGCTGCCCTTTTATTCTTCAATATTGACTCCAGAGGAGCAGGAGGAGATAGAGGAAATTATCCCAGAGGAGCTTACTGAGGAGCTGGCAAAGGTAAAGTTCCCAGGGCCCAGAGGCCTTGGCTTAAGGTTGGGGATGATGGACCCTGGGCTGTATTCACTAATGGGCCCCACTACACACCTCCCTTTAAATCAATTCCCAGGTGATAGCAGACTACATAGGGATGGATAATTTCTGGAAAAGGTACAACAAAGTGAAACTAGAGCAACTGAGCCTTCAACAAAGACGTACCCAATTGTTAGAGATCAATGGGAGGCTGCGGGAGATGCTCAAGCGGTACTTGGATGGCATTTCAGTGAGTGATGAAGTGCTGAGCCAGCTCAACCCACTCTTCATCGTCAACTACCGAAGCAACTTACCCCAGCCCTTGTCTAAACCTACAACCCAACCAGGTGACAAAAAAAGTTCAACCACTTACAACATCATTGAGGCAGCCCATGTGATCTCCCATATCCTGTGATACAAGGAGAAAATCTATTTTCATTCTCCAGAGAATTTTTTGAGAGACCTGAGGACTTTGCTATTAAAAATTCTCATAGAGTTCATGAGCTTCTTATATCTTTGCCATATTGGACAGAACAGTCTACTTTGACAACACCAGGAATAAGCAGCCCCAGGGCATGGAGAGAATAGCTAGGCAACTACTAGGAGGCTTATTTCTCAATGAAGCATTGCTCCTGGAGTCAGGGCACCCTGGTAGCCAAACTACCTCCGGGACCTAAAAATCAGATGGGAATTCAAGAACAAGTCCCTGAAGTAAGTTAGGACAGGAAGAGGAGGCCAGGGGAAAAGGTGACTCAAAGCCTCTAACCCCCTCCCCCATGACAGACAAGATCCAACTCAGAATGCCTTTTCCCCAGCCCCCTCACCTCATTCCCACTTACAAAAGTAGCCTCAGAAAGTATCAGTTGAAGAATGCAAAGAAGTTTTAAAAATTATTATTTATTATTTCTTTTTGCTCTTGTTTCGTTTCTCTTCCTTGAGCTTCTTTTTGGAGACTTTAGGTCTGCTGGCCTTTCTGTATAGGTGATACCCAATGAGGCTCAGGAGGGCTGGCACCATGGCCATGCCCACCAGAGGCAAAGTGCCCTTCATCAGCTTTTGCCAGTAGTTGGCTCGGATCAGTGCAATCAGCTCCACGTCAAACTGCAGCACTGCATCCGCTGGAGGTAGAGAGGAGGTGAGGGTTAAGATCTCTGTGCAGTTTATCTAGGACTCTGAATGAATGAAAACAGGGAAGGCAGGCCACACAGAGCAACAACTATGAAGCTGGCAAGATTTAAATGTGGGGTTGAGTTCCCTTAGACAAGGCAGAGATGGGTTATGAGCAGAGTCTAGTGATAGTCATGTTTACCCCAAATATACAAATGTGGCTTGGTTTCCATGATGGGTCTTTGACAGCACAGGAAAATTTCCTGTGGATCTGAAATGTACACACTGTTCTCCATTTATGAGTGAGAGAAACCTCTATACTAACTGTACTTCATTTCCAAACAGCCACAAGGACACAATCTTTGCAGGGCTGAAATTAATTGAATTTAAACTAGACTTTTAAATTCCACCAACCAATGAGCATATTCAACGAAATTATTAGAAAAGATAGGTGTTCTAACATAAGAGCTGGAGAGGAAGAAGGATGTGTCTTAAGAAAGTAGATATGGGGGAATGAGTGGGAAAGAAATGTAGATAGAAGCAGCACTAGAAAGCAGAAGGTAATAGAGCTTTGAGTAAGTGTTCATTTCTCTTTAGTCACCCTATCTTCTCTCCAGGTCTCCCTCTAAGCTGGAACTGGGATAATAACTTTTACCCCGATGCTCTGAAGTATAACACATTTTAGCTAATAGAACATGTGTTATAACCAAAAGCAAGAGACACACATCTTGTGAAATCTGTTCAATCCCAGGCCTTTAAGAGTAAAAATCAACAGTGACTTGAGAGGGCTTTTAAAGTTATGAGGTGGACTTGGCTTTTAAAAGTTTTTTTGTTGCCGAAACCGGTTTGGCTCAGTGGATAGAGCATCGGCCTGCGGACTGAGGGGTCCCAGGTTCGATTCCGGTCAAGGGCATGTACCTGGGTTGCGGGCACATCCCCAGTAGGAGATGTGCAGGATGCAGCTGATCGATGTTTCTCTCTCATCGATGTTTCTAACTCTCTATCTCTCTCCCTTCCTCTCTGTAAAAAAATCAATAAAATATATTTTTAAAAAAATAAAAGTTTTTTTGTTTCATTTTGTTTTGAATTACTTGATTGTGATCATTTTTCCTATCTCTTCCCTGGTAAAGACTGAGAGGAAGGGCAGAGATGCAGCGAGAAGCCATGCCAACTGCACAAATTACACCATTTGTAATTGTAGGAAAAAGACAGGAAATTAGTCCAAAGTTCTAGGAAGGGTGACATGCGCAGCAGACTCATGTGGCACAAGCAGGTGTCTCCTTTCTAAAAAGCTGCTGGCTGCCAGAGGGCAAACCAGGTGACATTAACAGGTTCTCTAGTCCCTATTGTGATCTAAGCAGGAAAAAAGAGGGCCCCAGCCACCGCTGTCCCTTTTAGCAAACTGATTTAGACCTTCTCAAGCTCCAAATTGTATAGCTCTGAGAGATGGGGTATTTTGGTGATTTGAAAGAGAGCTCTAGTCAGGTTACCTGGGATAGATGGTGGAAATCCCCGTTTTCCATAGGCCAAGTGAGAAGGAATGATTGCCCTTCGCTTCTCTCTGAGGGAAAGAATGTCACAGCCAGAGGTGGGAGCAGGTGGGCCAGCAGCCTCAGTCCATCTGAAGCCCCACCAGCAAAACCCTCTAGGTCAGTGGTCGGCAAACTGCAGCTCGAGAGCCACATGCGGCTCTCTGGCCCCTTGAGTGTGGCCACGAAGTTTCAATCGCACTGTACGTGCGCACCCGCACGTGGTATTTTGTGGAAGAGCCACACTCAAGGGGCCGCAGTTTGCCGACCACTGCTCTAGGTATTCATGTCCAAAAGATGACTTTTTCCCCCCACTTTATACCAAACAGGTTGACCCGCAAAGGTATACATCCCCCCACATGCCTCAACTGCTCCAACAAAACCCACAGCCAGAGAGGCACAGAGGCTTGGGACGCCCTCAGGGGTCCCAATGACTGAGGCAAAGCCAGGGTCCTTTGTCCCATGTTTCCCTGCCTCCTCTAGAAGCAGGGATAGCAGAGAACGCTTCTAGCCATGCAAAGGGAGTACCCAAGCCCCTCTCTGCCCAGATACTCACCCTACACACATGTCTAGAAGGCTCTGCTCCAGACCTTGAGGAAGAAGACATAACTGAACAGGAAGCTACCTACATTCCCAAAATCCCAGGAGAGGAGATCAATGGTTCCCCCTTCCCCCTTAGTTGAGCTCCCGCTTCTCAAATCTCTGGCTCCCTTCTAGTAGGGGATGGGGCAAGAGGAATATTAGAAGTGGGTTTGAACCGCAGGAGGGCCGTTTCTAAGGTAGCTTAGGGACTGAAAGGGTGAGAAAGCACTTAGGTTGCGATGAGTGGGAGGCACAGGCCACATACCTGGGATCACCTGCTTTTGGCCGAGTTCTATAACCAGAGGGTCTCTGGCCAGGGAAGTGTCAATAACACGTCCATCTACCAAGCTGCCCTGGGGGGAGAGAGCATCCGGAGCTCACACCTGGCCAGCTCTCCCTCCCAGCAGGCGCAGCCCCCTCGCAGCTGCAGCCTCGCACTCCCCTCGGGGCAGAAAGGAACAGGAAGCCCCACAGAACTGGCACTGCTCGGAGATCTCTCTACCCTTCACTTCT